GGATTAGGATTAGAATTTTGGTTCTATTCATTGCTCTGTCATATATGGATCAAGAAGGGCAGGACCAATGCAATGAGTTGACAAAACTATATACCTTTGAACTAACTAGTCATAGTTGGAAATTGGCCGTCCAGTGGGCCCGATTTAGATTACATTTAATGAATTTTTTTCTGATGAATCTCTTATCTTGTGATATTTAGTATTTAGATTGCTTTGATAAGAGGTTCTATGCCATATGTGTTAGGTTGAAGAAGTTTTCTTTTCTCATCCTGGTTATTTAATTCTTTTACACTGGCGTGTAATGTTTCTTTGGAGGTTGCTGAGGGTTCCAATAGGTGTGTAATGAAGTGCACTCCAAAGGTAATATTGGTAGTTTTTGATTAGTGGTATTTAGCATAAGCATAGTCCTTTTTTTTTTTTTCGAAGGCTGTTCCTTCTTATCTTTGGTTTAGTTGTATTTCCCTTTTGTATGCCTTCTACTTCCTCCCCCCCTTTATCTTCCTTGCAATTTGACCGGGGGGTTAAAGTTGCAACTCTTGGCTGCATATGGGAAAAGATACAGACATCTTTAAGGAAAGAGACATCTTAACTCGCTTATGCTGTTAAACAGAGTAGAATGCTGAACTTGGATCAAGTAGCTGACAACTGCTAGTTCTTTTAAGCTTTATTGAGGTTAGCAGTGTATAAGGGCTAGCTAAAGAAGGTAGCATATGAAATAATGCATGTGATGCCTGTTGAAATTTTCTTGCAATGATCAAACAACTGGCTGAGATTATGTGCTAGGAATTGGTCACTAGTGAGAGCAACTAGTGATGATGCCTGTGCATCTTGTATCTTCATACAAACTTATGGTTCTCTGATTTCGTCCATTTTCTGACCTTCTTTTCTCTTATTTTCATTTGGAGGTGTAGACACTAAGTTATAGGGAATATACAATACAGACCTTTAGACGTGTGCAAAGTTAATGAAGGTAAAGTTAGTCATACAAAATGTGTGAAAGTTCCTCATGCATTTCATGAAGTCAATTATTGAATTCTTTATTGGTAGTTTATTAAATGTGTCATGGGCTTACATTGGAGATGCCCTAATAGAGAGATGTAAACTATGCTGAGATGTGTCCTCATCTCAATATTTTATTTGAGTGGGACTATGTTAAATTTAAAAGGACATTTACTCCAAGTAGATTTAGGTAAGAAGCTATATATATGTCTTCATCTATATATGTCTGAATGAATAGTAACTTTAGCCTTCATTTCTGAAAGGCTAAGGTGCTTGTTAAAAGCCAATTGGTAACAAGATGTCAAGGAAAAGGCCAATCATTGTTAGGAACAAAAGATGTTGATCTGTGTCTATTGTTGCCTTGTGTTCTACCGGTGATAACATGATAGATTCTTGACTGAAATGTTTGCTTATATAATTTAAATGATATCTCCTAATTATTAGTTCATGACAGATGCAGCTTTGATGATGATATGAGGTGAGATTTATGGATTTTTCCATGTAGATATTGAATCATCTACATTGCCTACCCTCTTTTAAATCATGCAGGAGATGAATTTTGCGGCGGCACAGATACAATCCTCAGATTCACTTATGGATCTGAATATGGGGCACTGGGAGGGGTGCCCTCGATCAGAAATATATACACCTGAAGTTTTGAGTCTAATTGAAAGATACCAGCCTGATTTTTGTGCGCCTTCTGGAGAATCTCTCAGGCAACTGGAATTTCGAATGGTTCAATTCTTGAATGGGACTGTCCTTGGACTTCCTGAAAAGTTGAGATCTGATTTTTCCTTACACCAAAATGAGAGTCGAGGGTTTACACACCATAACACCCATGCTTTAACCAACTCAGTTCACGATAGAGATGTGCCTTCTCTTCCACCACCCCACTGGGATATGCTTCAAAGGCAGCGACATGGGCTATCAAGGAAGAAGTCTGGTAAGAGCAGACTACAATTTGTGTCGAATATTGGTGAACATGATGCTGATGATGAAATGTCTCCTAGGGAAGCCAATCATCAGCCTGACCTTCATGACTTAAATGTCAGGAGTACATCTTCCCCCTCTACCTCCCCTGTCTCCACTTCTGTTGGTATTTTTACTCATTCCCTTCCTATTAAGTGTCTTATTACGGGCCTCCTCAACTGCAGCCCTGTGGTGTCACATAAGATCTGCATAGAAGATTCTTCCGTGACTGTATTACAGCATTCATGGAAAACAGGCTGGCAGATAAAACGGTTGAATGATACTGCACATCTTAGGCTTCTTTAGTTCGAGTTTGAGACTTTTGTATTATCCTACAGCAGAATTTGTTGGCTAGAAATATGCCATCACTATGATTCGTTCATCCAAGTTGTATTCTGCAACTCGTGCTCTCGCTTGTGATTCTTCCACACATTGTTGTAGCATTCAAATTTCGATATATTTATTATTTTACAATTCATCAAATCCGAAGAGAGAAGATTTTTTTTCTTTTGGAAGTTGGATCTTTGTATTGGGTGATTCTTTTGATATGTAGTGTTGATGACAGATGATTTTATAGAGTGAATTTCTAATGTAATTCCTGTACTTGGGATACCATGATGTTGTTTTTATATAGAAAATTGCAAAGAACTTGTATTTCTTCATCAATCCCTGGAAAGGTGGTTAAGGCTGCATGCAGAAAATGCTTGTGGTTCTTTTACCATCCAAATAACTCTCCTAACTTTATTAAAATTTGAAATTTACATTAATTCCTCTTTTCATTTGGATTCGAGAACTAATAATTTTTAAGTATCCAAATAAGAATTTGAGTATTGATAATTTTTAAATATCTAAATAACTCCTATCTTTATTAAAATTGGAAATTCATGTCTTTATTGGGATTTGAGTACTAATGATTTTTAAGTATCCAAATAAGGATTTGAGTGTTGACAATTTTTAAATATCTAAATAACTCTCCTATCTTTATTAAAATTTAGAATTTAGACTAATTCTTGTCTTTATTTGAATTCAAGTACTAATAATTTTTAAATATCTAAATAACTCTCCTACTCTTATTAAAATTTAGAATTTAGACCAATTCCTTATTTATTCGGATTCAAGTATTAATAATTTTAAATATTTAAATAATTCTCCTACCCTTATAAGGATTTTCTCAATAATTCGAGTACTAATATTACAAGGAATTGCGCGTTATCCTTACTTTAGTATTTCATGCATCAAACCCAACATAAAAGCAAGAAAAAAACTTCAGTTGAAACCAATAAAATCACCCACTTTTTTTCCTCAAAGATGAAGGCTTTTTGTGAGAAGGTGAAGGAAACGGTCAGCTCTGATGACTATTTGGCCACGATGGAGTACCTACGTGGCTACAGAACTGGAAGAATCACTATGATCGATATGAATAACATGGTGGCAGATTTGCTCGGAAAATACCCTGGATTTTCTGGTGAGTTTCTTGATCTTTTCAACGTTTCTGATGGTTTTGCTCCACCATTAGAATCAGCAGAGAGCAGCAGCAAAAGGAAGAGGCCTGAAGGTTCTGATCAGGGAGTTGGACAACCCGATGGATGCAACAAAAGGATTGTCAAGTTGAGGTTAAGTTATAGTTCAGTTCGAAGCCTTGATCACCCTGAATCTACTTCTAGAAATGAAACAAAGGATCGTCCGTCTCCAGCATTAATGTTTTGTGAAAATGTTAGGAAGGAAATCAGTGCTGAGAAATATCTGGCGTTGCTGCGATGCCTACATTATTATGGCACTGGGAAAATCACAGAGGGCGACATGATGAGGATGATTACCGAGGAATTTCCAGAGTTTGAGCAAGATTTTCGTCAGGTTTTGGAGTTTTATGAGAGTTTAACTCAGCCATCATTGCAAGCTGAAGACAAAGGGAAGAAACACATTAAACGTAGTACTACACAAACACAGGTTGATGAGTTGACACCAAGCTATCGATTTCTTCCAAAGAATCTTCCAGCAAATCAAATCAGTAGCGGTAGCGAACCCGGCGATCTTGAAGTACTGAACAACTGTTGTTATTCCAAGGGTTTGTTCAACAGTGGCAAGGTGAGGGCTAAAGACCCTTATGAAGAGATGCTGAACGAATGTGAAGATGAGTTATACGAGAGAGATATGGTGGTGGCATGGCTGCGTTCGACAAAGGAGAACGCAGCCAAACTGCTTGAAGCCATAAGTGAGGGGAAAATTAAAGAAACAAATCCGGAGGTCGTTGATGGCTATTTCACTCGATATAACTTAAGATTTATAGAAAGAGCTTACGGGGATATCCACGGACCAACAATGGTAGATGAACTACATCAAGCTGCGGAGATTGTTCTCCCTTTCATTATCAAGAGGCTGGACCAGATACAAGTCCGGAATTCTTTTTCTTACCAATCCAACTGCTGCAACTTACAATCAAATCTTCGTGTAGCAAAGGAAACTAGTGTACTAGTTAGACAATCCTGACTGAATTTGATTTCTGCTTAGAAACGTTCCACGAAGTGTAGACTTGCCCAAAAAACAAGTGAGCATGTCCAAATTAGGTGTGGAAGATCTACCAAATCAAATCTAAGAATGTTAAGGAACAAAATACGTATTCACGAATAATCTTTTAAAATATTCATATTTAAATTTTATTTCTTTTAAAAGTATCCGAAACTCATAAATATTGGATCAAAAATGAATATGTTGGAGGGAAAAAGTGTATGCAACTTTTCTTATAGAGCTTTTTCAAGTGTTTAATGATCATCTACACAGTGCACTCTTCTTTTGTTCAACAGGATGCTTTTAATGATTACAAATTTGTTTCATTCGTAAATATTCCCAACTAATCAAAATCACCTCATATTGTAGCTTGGAACATGAATTTGCCATGGAAGGACAATCACGTGTTAACTTGTTCACATGGATACAGCAACGAACAAGATATCTTTATTTTACAAAACGCAGGGCCTTGATCATGCGCCACGCAGGCATTCATTCGCCGACAAGCACATGGAAAAATGAACCTACCACTGTTCTTGCCACAAGCACCAAACAAAATCAATAGAAACCAGAGGGCTTCAATAAATATAAAGGCATGAATTCTTAGGTACAAATTTAAACTGCCGGAGTCTTATCCCGTGAAATGCAGCAGCAACTTCTTCCCTGAAATCTTATCCCTTCACCAGATTCAAATTTAACCCCCACATGCCAAAAACTTCAAATCTCCTAAGTTTCAGCTCAAAGAGTTTCTCTGATCAGACATCCATGGCTACTAGTACCAAATTGTTTGCTGCAGCTATACCCATTGTCATCTTCTTCGCCAACTTGCAAACTGTAACCAATGAACCTGCAATTTCAGCTTCTCCAGCCGTTTTGCCATATGTCAATGCACCCAACATGTCTTCCTTTTTCCCTTCTCAAGCTCCTCCGCAGTGGCCTACAAGTTCACCAGTTCCAACAGGTTCAGAAGCATTTGCACCCATACCAAGCTCAGGGGAGTTTGTGGGGAAGAGCTCCTGCAGTTCAGCTAAGTCTGATGGTGCCATTGTTATTCTTCTGCAACTCTTCATCCTGTTTGTAATGAGATCAGTCTCTACTGTTTAAGCACATTTATAGCATAACATAAGTAATAATCTCTTCTGCTTTTTGTGTTAGAGATGCTTGTGATTAATTAATTTGCAGTTTTCCATGCTTCCTTTCCATTTTCCTCCACAGCCTATGAAATTTTCATACCATCTGCAATGCCTTCAGATTTGCTGATGGCCCCTGGATCATACATAATGATTTATCAAAACAATACAGTTGAAGTAGGACAAATTTGTTAACCAAATCAGGAAGGGGAAATTGGCCACTGGATACACATCCTAACAGGTTCAGTCCCAATCAGTTGTTTTTTTAGAACAATCAATTTAATTTCACTTCACACTTAAAAAGTATTTTTGTAATTTTATTAAACAAAATTAACACTTTGAATCTTGATCCCTTATAAGAAAGGAAATTATCTGCAATAAAAAACATCCACAGATTTTAATTGGATGAAACCTTATTTTCATGTTTGGTTTAAAATATTACAATAAGAATATTGTTTTCTCTTTGAGAAAGTTACAATTATTTTTCTTTCTAATTAACCTAAACCCTGTCATTTATATATACTTGTATATGTATTTCTTCTTTTCATTATTTGCATATATAATTGTCACCACTACTAGGTAGGTAAGAGAAAATTATTATTACTAAAAGCATTTGTTATTTACCTGGGAAAATAAAAGTAGAAAATCATTACTCAGAGAAGTTCAATAAAAAAAAGTCAAAAAACTCTTGGGATGATGTTTCTATTATTTTATAATAATTCTCTGCATTATTAAAAAAAATAATTAAATATTATATATATTTTTTATCAATTATCATATTATTATTTATTATTTTAATGATAAAGTTAGAATATTACCATCCCAATAATCAATTTTCTAATAATAATAAGCTATCAAAGCCAGCAAATGCCACTAAGAACTTAGAAAAGAGAATGAATGAAGTATGAAGATTCCAAACCTTGGTTCAGCATTCAAGTGTATTACTTTCAAATATCACTACTCCACTAATGCCAACCTCACCGCCTGGTTCAGCAAATATGTAGACAAGTCTAGTGTCTGGTCTTGGAACTCAATCATTGCCGAGTTAGCCCGCGCCGGCGACGCAGCCGAAGCTCTCCGAGCCTTCTCTTCGATGCGCAAGCTTTCTCTTAAGCCAAACCGCTCCACTTTCCCATGCGCTATCAAGTCTTGCTCTGCTTTACTCGACCTTAACTCTGGCAAACAAACCCATCAACAAGCTTTAATCTTTGGCTATGGCTCTGACCTCTTCGTATCATCAGCCCTCATTGATATGTACTCCAAATGTGGGCAATTGAGGGATGCCCGGATCTTATTCGATCAAATTCCTCAACGAAATATAGTATCATGGACTTCTATGATCACTGGTTATGTCCAAAACAATAGTGCCCACCAAGCTTTATCGCTTTTTAAAGAGTTATTGATTCAGAAGAGTGAAAATGGTGGAAATGATGCAATTGGACAAGTGCTTATTGATCCAGTTGCCATTGTGTCTGTTCTGTCTGCTTGTTCTCGTGTTCCGATAAAAGGAGCAAGTGGAGGGGTTCATGGAATGGTTATAAAGAAGGGGTTTGATGGCGAAGTGAGCGTTGGAAATACATTGTTGGATGCATATGCTAAAAGTGGGGATGTGGGTCTGTCTAGGAAAGTGTTTGATGCGATGGTTGAGAAGGATGAGGTTTCTTGGAATTCTATGATTGCTGTTTATGCACAAAATGGATTGTCAAATGAGGCTCTGGAAGTTTTTCATGGAATGTTAAGGGATGATAATGTCAATTACAATGCCGTTACACTTTCTGCTGTGTTGTTAGCCTGTGCTCATTCGGGAGCTTTGCAAGCCGGGAAGTGTATTCATGACCAGGTACTAATTGTAGTTCATATATGTTGTTAGTATAACTATTCATGGTAATAAATGATTTTGTAAAGTTTCGACTGTTTGATCAGCTCTGGAATTTGTGTTTCTGTATAGGTTATAAAGATGGGTTTGGAGGATGATGTGATAGTGGGGACTTCTATTATTGACATGTATTGCAAATGTGGAAGAGTTGAAATGGCAAGGAAAGCATTTAGTTGCATCAAAGAGAAGAACGTCAGGTCCTGGACTGCCTTGATCGCTGGTTATGGAATGCATGGTCATGCCAAAGAAGCTTTAGAGGTCTTTTACAATATGATAAGAGCTGGGGTCAGACCTAATTACATAACGTTTGTGTCGGTTCTGGCATCTTGTAGCCATGCTGGTCTGGTACAAGAGGGTTGGCATTGGTTTAATGCAATGAAGGATGAATTCAATGTAGAACCTGGGGTGGAGCATTATGGTTGCATGGTTGACCTTCTTGGACGAGCTGGATATCTCGGCCAGGCTTACAAGTTGATCAAGCAAATGAAGGTGACACCTGATATTGTAATTTGGGGTTCACTTCTTGCAGCTTGCAGGATTCACAAGAATGTGGAGCTGGCAGAGATTTCTGCCAATAAATTGTTCGAATTAGACTCAAATAACTGTGGGTACTATGTTTTACTTTCTAACATATATGCTGATGCTGGAAGGTGGGAAGATTTTGAGAGAATGAGACTTCTTATGAAGGACCGTGGATTGATTAAACCACCTGGATTCAGTTTGGTTGAACTGAAAGGTAAGGTTCATGTTTTCTTGGTTGGAGATCAGGAGCATCCTCAACATGAGAAGACACATGAGCATCTGGAAGAGTTAAATATAAAGCTGCAAGAAGTTGGCTACATACCCAATATGACATCAGTTCTTTATGATGTGGATGAGGAAGAGAAGGGATTGACCTTGCGGGTTCATAGTGAGAAGTTGGCTGTTGTCTTTGCAATCATGCATACAGTTCCTGGTGCAACAATCCACATTATTAAGAATCTTAGGATTTGTGGGGACTGTCATACTTTCATGAAGTTGATCTCAAAGATTGTTGATCGACAAATTGTTGCCAGAGATTCAAAGCGATTTCACCATTTTAAGGATGGAATCTGTTCTTGTGGAGATTATTGGTGACATCCATTGTTGGACAACAAAAATTGAAGATTAGAAAAGAATGTTAATTGTGAGCTTCGGGCACCGTTGACTTGAACGACGAGGTGTTCATCTTGGCTCTCAAAATGATCTGGGACATGAGAAATGTCATAATGATTTGACTTTGAAGTCTGAAAAAGAGTTCTCCGATGCTCCTAGCCACTAACAAGGTTTGATATGAATCAGCTTTACCATTAGTTATTGAAAAGATACATCACCTTCTAACAGTGTAAGTTCAGTTGAGTTTGAATGCTGATGGAATGGTTATTGTATTGACAGAAGAGTAGTTATTTAGATATAGCTAAACAGTTACATTTCAGAACAGCATGACAACCAAGTATCAGCCGCCAGCTTATAGATCATTCTTTGAACTTGAAAAGGATAAAGTTGCATTCACTCCTGTCATGACGTCTTAAAAGACTGTCTTGCAGTATGGTACGGCATACAGTTTCTTGAAAATTCAGGACTACTCTGCCAATTTACGCAATGACATTCATGAAGATTCCTTCTTAAGGACATGCAGAGGATACATCACATTATCATTGTTATAGATGATTTGATTTACTTTTGTTGATTAAACTATTGCCACTTGATAGAAGTGGAAAATCAATTGTTCAACAGATGGGAAAAAAAAAAGGAATTATGAACAACCTCCTTGGAAGAACTTGCCCAAAAATAGTCCTCTTGATCTTGATGTCTGAGAATGGTTGGGCTTCACACCAATTTTGAGCTATGGAGACATTTCTGCAGGGCCCTGTTCTCACTCTTTAACCGCTCAAGCTGTAGCTGCAGCTCATTGATGGTTTCTCTCTTCTCCTCATTCCTTCTCAACAGTTCTGCTTGCTGGCGCAGATTCTCCTCCATAAGCTTTATGAATTGAAACTTGAGTTGAAACCATGTATTCTCACTTTCAGAACTACCCTTCTGGAACTCTGCAGCTTTAGGCTTGAATCTTTGAAACCCATTTATCTTGGAAACAACATCCTCTTCATCTGAAAATTCTCTGTTCATTTGCCCAGGTTTTCTGCTGGAAGACATGTTGCATTGTTCTGCTAATATCAGATCATCGGCTAACTTGTTCAGGTATTCAAAGCTAGATCTATAATGTTTGAAATCAGGATCATCAACAACAGATTCGGGGCAAGAATCAGAAGCCTTCAGAGTGGGATCATCAGAGGCTCCCACAACCCTTTTCTTATTGCTAGCCTGTTGGATTTGTCTAGAGTTAGGGGACAAAGGTAAAGACCTATGAGGGACATTGTGTGATTGAATCCTCAACTGATCATACTTTTCTACTAAAGAACAGTATGATCTGTTTAACTCTCCCAACATTTGAACGAGTCCTGGTTTCCTGTTATGAGCAATATCATCCTTCTGGCACGAGGATTCGTCTTCTTCCTCCAAAAGGGTCATCATGGCCTTCAATTTCTCGTCCAAATCTGCAGAAAATTGATAAAAGAGGTCAAACAAAAACTGCAGCAAGAAAAGAAAAGAAAAGAAAGGAAACATCAGCATAGAAAGAGGGAGGATGGATGGTTTTTCCGACCTGATAGAGTTGTCTGAAGCCACTGGGACTGTCGGGGGCAAGCAGGAGAAGAAGAAGCTGCACTGTTCTCCATTGAACCAAAGTGCTCTCACCCAAGAAGGATTGGATGTTTCTTGGGTTTAAGAAAGGGATGAAAAACAAAAACAAAAGAAACACGTTAAGAACTTTGGAAGCTCTGATTCTTCCCTCCATCTTAAAAGGGGATTCTTTCTACATTTCAAACGCTTTCCTTTTATTGAGGAGAAATAAATTCTTGTGTGATACTCCCGTTACGAATAGCTTGGTTTGCTATAATATTTTTAAAGCTTTCAAAATTCAAAAGCAATGCAACAAAAGCATCCATAAAAGCTTTCATTAGCTATGGCCAATGTTAGTTTGCTATATCTTAGATTGCATGAAACATATGAAAGGCCACAAAATTTGAGCTACAAAACATATTAAACAGTGCAGGAAAAACCAATGAAGGGCAATTCAATGATTTGCAAACAAAACCTTTATTGATTTCAATGTACAAGTAACTCGTGCAATCATCCTTCAACTTAATTCAAACGGCAGGCAAGCTTATTGAAACATATGCAAAAAGACAGCAGTCAAAAGAAATAAAATATATATTGTATAATTGAAGTTTTTATTCCAAATATGCTAAAAGAATTAAAGAAATTAATTACAGGAAAGGGGAGAGCCCCCAACAAAACAAACAGACATCTAGCTAAGATTGTCTGACTAATACAGCAATGAGTTTAACAGGTTGGTTGGTAAGAAAATGAATTGATCTGATCTAGCCTCTTCATAATGAAAGGGAGAACAATGTGGGCTGCCTGACGAAGTTCATCCACCATTGCAGCTCCGTGAATACTTCCGTACATTCTTTCTATAAATCTGAAATTATAAGGAGTAAAATAGTTGTCCACCTCCTCCGGATTTGGCTGCTTAATTTTACCCTCGCTTATGGCTTCGTATAACTTAGTTGCATTCTTCTTTGTCGAACGCAGCCATTCCAGCAACATATCTCTCTCATACAAGTAATCCTCATGCTCATTCAACATTTCTTCGTAAGGGTCTACACGCCTTACCTTGCCACTGTTGAACAAACCCTTGGAATAACAACAGTTATTCAGTACTTCAAGATCGCCAGGTTCGCTGCCGCTACTGATCTCTTTTGCTGAAAGATTCTTTGGAAGAAATCGATAGCTTGGTGTCAACTCATCAACCTGTCTTTGTGTAGTACTACTCTTGATTTCTTTGTTTGGTTTTTTCGCTTTGTCTCCAGCTTTCGGTGATGGCTGACTTAAACTCTCATAAAACTCCAAAACCTGGCGAAAATCTTGCTCAAACTCTGAAAACTCGTCGGCCATCAACTTCATCATGTCATCCTTTGTGATTTTTCCAGTGCCATAATAGTGCAGGCATCGCAGCAAGGCCAGATATTTCTCAGAACTGGTTTCCTTCCTAACTTTGTCACAGAACCTTAATGCTCGAGACAGACGATCGTTTCTTGAAGTAGATTCAGGGTGGTCAAGGATTGGAACTGAACTAGAAGTTAACCTCAGCCTGATGATCTTCTTGTTGCGTACATGGGTTTCTCCAACTCCCTCCTCAGAACCTGCAGATCTCTTCCTTTTGTTGATGGTCTTTGCTGATTGTAATGGTGGTGGCAAACCATGAGAGGCGTTGAAAAGATGAAGAAAGTGGTCAAATAATCCAGGGTATTTTCCAAGCAAATCCTCCATCATCTCCTTCAAACGGATCACAGTGATTCTTCCACTGCTGTAGGCATGAAGGTGCTCCAGCATGGCCGAATAGTCATCAGAGCTGACCTTTCCCTTGAACTTCTCACAGAATACCTTCATCTCCCAGGAAGAAAAAGGGGTGAAATGTTGCTTTGAACTGACCCTTTCGATTGGTTTGATGACTGAAATATAGTAACGCGGTTTATGCTGTTAGTGTTGGGTTGGAAGACTGAAATACTAACTCGCAATTCTGTCCATCGGATTTCACCAGTGGAAGTAGGAAGGAGTCAGTTGAAATCAGGTGACGTGAATGTCGGAGGAAAGCTTGACGTGTTTCTGGCCATTAGATTTTACTTGAATGCTCTCGTGTTTGTTTTGAACTCAGGAACTAAATTGCTACTTTATTTTGTGCAGGTTATGATCTGCCAATCAATCGTTGACTCTGGTCAAATTTTGATTTTTATATTTCAAACTTACTTTTCATGTTTTTTCTTTTTTACTGTTTCATTACTTAACCTCTGTAA